GCCTGTTTGCTGTCTCCATTTGTCTGGAAAAGGATCCCGTAATTGTCCTTCAAATTTCCTTTAGTCATGCTAAATGCCTGTTTACTTGCATAAACAGGAAGTACTCCTGCTCCAGACAAGCATACCAACTCCATAGTGACCATGGACAGAGATCAATGCAACTTGGTTATAATTTTATTAGGTCTATAAACTTGTGTCAGTGCTCAGTACCAGACTCTGTGCAGGGGGGATGTTGTGACTAAGAAAATATCAGCATAATTATTAAGTCACATCTACTAGATTTTTAACCTAAATTTCAGTTGAGGGGGACTGGTCAAAGCTCACCATTTGACCAATGAAGGCATGAAGAACTTGGGATATGCAGACCCACATGAGATTTTCCATGTGTCACTATGAGGTGTGGTTTCTTTTGCATCCTGTGCTTTTAAGGATGAAGCTTATCTCTTTTAGCCCTTCCCCTCCATTCTGTGCAGTGATGGGAACATGTAAAACTAAAAAGCTTGGGACTCACTGAACAAAGTGCCACTTACAGATATCCAGGTGCCCACAATTCACAAGTGTGAATACCTTGTGCTCATCCAGGAGATAAGCCCATAATGCCTTGGAAAGATACCTGAGCTTTTCAAGCCACTGGCTGTGTTCCCTCCCATGTGCCCATGTGTATAGGTGCCATACACTCAGAAAAATCATTGTTTCTCACCTGCTTGGCTGGCTGTTTATAAACTTACAGGTCCTTCTTTTGTGAAACTTCTCTTTGAAGGCAAGGGCCAGGTCTCAGCTGGGTGCTGGCCACACTTAGTGCCGGGTGCCTTCAGTTGCAGACTGATGGGAACAATAACTGCTTTGCCACACTTCATACAAACAGGGAGGGGAAAAGGTTTTAAGGAGAAAGGACCGTAAAATGAGATCCAGGAATTCAGTAAGGCTACAGCAAAAGGAGCAGATTGCTAACTCAGAGCATCTGTCTTTGCCCTGTGAGTAAGTTACGAACTGCAAAGCAAGAGAAAGTGGAAGATCCTTTCACAAATAATAAACACTTGTTTGTCTCAGATTAAATGCAACACCTTTACATGTGGGCTCCAGCTGGCCATAAGTAGATGCACCTTGCATGGCTGTTACCTTCCTTGCCAATGAGAAGATTATTGAACATCCATCTGCTTAAAGGTTAATAACCTGCTTTTAAAAAGAGGAAGAAAAAAAGGCAAATCTGTTTAGTTTACAGGAATAAAAAATTGGTTTTCATTTAAACTGCCCGAACTTTGCCCTGCCTCAAAGTCATATTCTCCAGCAGAGAAGGAACGCGTTAACATAGGAGCTGTAGCCACATCTTCCAGAGAGAAATTTTTCCATGTGTTTTGAATAACTCCTGTAACTCCACTAAGAAGGTGTAGCTTCAAAAAGAAAATGCCCATTTCTAATCTGGGTTCTGCCACTATCTAGTTTAGAAAGAGACTCTTTAGTTCTTTGACATCATTTAGGCCAGGAGCAATTTCTGATGTAAACCCATACAAGCAGGATGTTACTGAAACTGGCTTTAGGCTCTCAACACTCTGAACTCTGCCAACATCTGGAGAATCTGGCTTTGAGTGCTTGGGGAGGGAAGGAATTTTTCTCCTACAAGTGAGAGGAATGGATAAGCTTGCAACAGCACCTGCATTATCCATTTCTTTGTGAGACAGAAAAGCACCATCTGAAGCAAGCTGATGCTCCCCGAAAACTGATGAAAAGGCCAGAGGAGCTCTGTGGGTCTTGGTGGGTTGCTGGCAGCTGCTGGGCACCTTCTCAGCTTTGCCTGAACAAGAAAGGTCCTTTCCAGTCCACCCAGCATCTGGGTACAGGGACTTGAGCTCTTACTGGGTCTGTGCAGTCCGAAGGAAGCAGTTTTGCAGCTGAGTTTATTGATGGAGTGCAAGCAACAGAAAGGGCCCTCACAGAAGGCAGATTTTCCTGCAGTGGGACAAGAGCTGTGCCCTGTGAACTGCTGGGGCCCAAACAAACCCTTCCCTTTGTGTGGAGCCAAGTGAAAGCCAGAGGGCTCAGTCTGCCCCACAGAGGAGGGCAGACTGAGCCCTCTGGCTTTCACTGAGCAGCTTCTGGCTGCAGGTTGGCACTGCTGGGAAACCCTGCAGACCCACAGGGGAGAAGAGGGTGGCTGAGGCTTGGATGCCTCTGCTAAGATGGAGCTGGGAGCGGAGGGAGTGTGATGGCCCATGGGAATATGGGAAACGCTGCCAGCCCCAGGTGTCTTCTCCTAGGGCTTCAAGAGACCTTGTGCTCAGTGCCCCTAACGTGACTGTGCTGTGTAAAAGGGGTGGTGCCACAGCATGGGAAGCTGAGGGTCCCCAGTTCTGTGGCCTCTTGTTGCCAAATCAGCTGCGATTACAGGCTGCCTCATTGAGGACTGCTTGAGAGGGGCTGGGAGGCCTCCAAGAGCCCTGTGAGGCTGAAGCTCAGCTGAAGCAGCAGCTGCAGAGCAGTAAAGCCCGGGAGGCCATCGTGCTGTCCAGCCCGTGGCCAGGGTGCCCTCGGTGCGGTGGGGAAGCGCTGCCGGCGGCCGCGGGGCCTGTTGGGCCCATTGGGCTGGGCCGCAGGGCGCTGCCGTGCCCACTGGCTGGCTCGCACCCAGCTCTTTGTGCCGGACAGGCAGCAGCCCGTGAGCTGCCACCTGTTGTTAATCTACCCCCGGCTAATCCATTCTGGACTGCGTCAGCAGTTCAAAAGGGCACTGTTAGTATTTTTTGCCAGCTTCAATTAACGTGAGATTTTGGAGGCCCCTCTGATCGCATTTCATCTGTCATGAGTCAGGAACAAACCAGCCAGATTGCAGTTGAGAGGAGAGAAGAGAAGGAGTTTATTGCAAACCAAAACAACAACAGCGTTTGTGCCCCCTTGGCCTGGGTGGCTGGGTAGCAGGGACCTTCCCATTCCTTTGAAAACCTGCAAAAAAAAAAATTGGTGACTGGAAAACCCCGCCCTTCCCCTCCAAAAAAAAAAAAAAAGAAAAAAAAAAGAAAAAAAGAAGCTGCAAGTGCAATGCAATAACTTACTTCAAAAAAAGTTAAAAAGAGTCAAGCTGCAAGACTGTTTGTTCTTTTTTAATATTCCACTGTAATGAACTGGTAATACATGGTTGCATAGGCAATAACATTGCATGGCACAAACCTCATGTGGCAACATTTTAAATGATTTTTTTTATTCTTTTTTTCCTGAACATTTTTAAAACTTTTTAATTTTTTAATATGTTCTACCCCAGGCTGTTAAGCTAAAGAGAAAAAAAAAAAAGGTAGCATTTATACAAGGTTACAATATTTTACAACAAAAAAACAATAATATTGATTGAGGTTTGTTTTCTTTCTCCCAGTCTCTCTTTCAAGCACTGCACACCTAAACCGATATATTATTATACATTGAAAACTGTCCTTCAAAATCAGTAGTATAAAAGTCCTAGCTCTACCTACCTACCTAGCTATGTGGGGGGAGTGGAGAACCATGTTACCAGCAAAGAGTTAAGGGGGTGTAAGGCTGCTCCCTCACCTCCTCCCAGCTCCCTTTGGGAAGCTGCAAAGGGCTGAATGACTTTCCATCCGATTCCACCCCCCTTCCCATTTGGGTTTAATTTCTCCCTTGGTCTGTTTGCTTTTTGCTGTGTCAGTCAGAGCAGCAAAATAAACACAGGGCTCTGCCTCTGCTTGATTATTTTTCAATCCTTTTCCAAGAAACTACCTTTTTGCCTTAGTTTGTTTGGAAAGTGTTTTACAATGTGCTGCCCAGTCTGAGTGTACTCTGGGAATCAGGGGAACGCGCCTCCCCATCCCAAAACACTTCCACTGCAGGGGGAAACCAGCAGGCAGCCCTGCTGGGCAGCACACAGGGCACTCCTGGACCAGGCTGGTGATGCGTCCCTGCGGTGATGGAGCAGGTGAAGCCATGTGTGCTGCAGCTCTGGAACTCCATGTGTGACACATTGTCACTGTGTGTGGCCTTTCCCTAACACCCTGCCCATGCCATGGCTCAGGCCAGGCGTGGTCCAGCAAGGACGTGTCACCTGGCAGGGATGTGCATTCCGGCAGGGATGGACGCTCGCTCACACCCTGCCACAGGCTTTCGAGGGAAGAGAGGGTGGTTCTCTTTTTATTTTGTTGTCTTGGTCTTCCTCCCTGTGGGCTATACCCAGGTAGGTGCTGGGGCAGTGGGACCTGAACTGGGTAGCATATTCTGGAGGGGGCAACTGGAGCCTGGCCGGAGAGCCTGATGCGAGTGCAGGTGGGTGGCACTGCTGGCAGTAGGTGATGTGCCAGGGGGCTGACCTGGCCCTTCTCCATGAGCTTGCTGAGGCACGGCAGCCCTAAGAGTATGCACCCCGCAGGGCCCAGCAAGCCCAAGCCTAGTTCCCCACTGGTTTCAATTGCTACCAAAGCACTAACTACTGCTAGAAGTAGCAATAGGCAAGAAGTGCTTTTGAGTGCTTGGCAATGAGTACCCAGACTCGTGGGTATCCAACTGCTTTTAAGCCAGTGCCAGGAACCCATTGCTCTTGCTTTTGCATCCTCCTGGTCTCAAAGCTATGGACATCTCTGGGGTTCCCAACCATGGGCAACAAAAGGCAGCCACTTTGTAGGATACCTGCTGCATAGACAGGACCAAGACTGCTTGGGAGAAATGTTTTTCTCCTCCCTCCATGAGGCTGGAGGGAGCATCTCGGTGAGCCCAGTTAGCTGGGCTGCACCCACAGAGGATGCCACCATGGGCATGGCAGGTGTTGGGGTGGCTGATGCTTGTGAGACATTATGGTGGTGGATGGGGACAAAGCTTGCAGCTTTGAAGGCAAGTCCAAGCCAGGGAATTGTGATTCAATGTATAGACATGAGTAAAATACTAAATAAGAAATAAATAGAGAAGAAAGTCATAAATAGAATTGAAAAGTATTAAAATAACAACAACAATAATAATTAAAAAAGGTATCATCGTGGTAACGTGAGATTGCAAGAACAGCACTGACCCTGTGACCTTTAAGAAATGCAGTAGCTGTAGGCTGGCTAGGTTAAGATACACACATATATATATATACATATATATAAGTATATATATATATTTATACAGTTTTTCATGTTAATTTAACAGCTAGTTTTTAAAACCCTTTTAAATTAATTTTTAAAATGTGTTTTAAGTACAGATGCATGTAGCTTAAAAACTACCAGAACAACTGCTTTTGAAGGTTTGGGACGGGCCCCTGTTCCAGCGTTACCCAGAAGTTTGGGTGCAAGGGACTGTGCCGGAATGGCAGCAGCACCCAGAGAGGTGAGGCAGAGCCTGATGAGCAGTGGGGCTGCCTGCAGGTGGAGGTGGGAAGGGAGCCCTGCACAAGGGGGTCCAGGGAACAATTCCCCTTGCCTCATGGTGTTTTCGGGCAGGCTGAGGGCTGGGCACGCGCAGTGGTGTTTAAATTAGACTGAGTCCAACATGTGCTTTCCACATGAATTTTAAGGTGAGAGAAAGTGGGGGCCAAGCTTCTCTAAATGCCAAGTCTGCTGCCAGGAGACTCTCCTCTCTCTCTCTAACAAGACAGGGATACAGCACTTAATCCTCTGGGCTGTTAAACAGCTCAAATGAAATACTGGCCCCGTGGAAGTCTGTGAGGAAAAGCTACCTTTTAACTTCAGTAGGGAATGCAGCTAAGCTCTTGAATAGATACAGCCCTCCACTGGAGCTGCCTTCAGGCTTGCAGGCTAAGTGAGGCCTGTCCCCATATGGCTGCCTGCTCCACTGCCCTCTCCTTAGCTCTGCTTGTTGCTAATTTGCCTTGTCAGCAATGGTACTGGACTGTTCAGGCAGCAGCCCTCCACTGATTGCCTGCTGACATTGGGAAGCATCAAGATTCCCAGTGTACCTGGGAAAAAGCTCTCAACACTGTGTTCAGCTGCCTGCACAAACCTGGACAAATTGCCTCCTGCCACCAGTCCCTGGGTAGCTGGGAAGCTCAGTGGCTTCTGGGGTACCCAGTGGGGATGTACACCTCCAGCTGATCAGCATGATCCTGCCTGGTTCGGTGATCAGCATCACTTTCAGCATCTAAGCCACCGTGCCTGAGGTCTCAGCTGAATGTTTAGGCTGGGATGTAAATCCTGGCTGCTTGTGGTGGGAGAGGCCCTGGTTATGCACATGATGTGGTGAAACGCATGCTGGCTCCCTGTGCATAGCAGGGAATGCATCTCTTAGCATTTCTGAGGAGAGAAAAGAAACAGGACTACTGGTGTTGTCTTACCCCAGTAAATATATTACTTTTGACCTAGCAATAGTGTATCATTAAGGTAGTGCATTGACAGTCTAGGCACTATGGGAATGCTTGTATGGCTCATTAACCTGAAGCTGGACGTTTGGTTGTAGCTTATTTGGAACTTTTTCCAAGACCACTAGATATTCCTGGACCTTAAACCACAAGATCCCCTAACAGTAAGCATGAGGAAAGAGGGCAAGGTGACAAACCAGTTTTTCTGGGAGTAGTATCCTATAATTCCCTTGCAAATCTCAGAGATGGCTACCCCAGCTCAAGCCCAGCTTGCAGAGCCACACTGTGTGGGTGGTAGTGCCCAGCTGACTTTCAGCTTCTCCTTGGTGGTATTTCAGTGGCGTAAAAGGATGTTCCAAAATTACTCCATGCACTATGATCACTGAAAAACTTGTAAAACATTTAGCCTTGCAACGGAGATCTTAACAGCTCTGTGCAGGTAAGATCAGCGGGACGGAAAAGCAGACAGGCATGTTGGGTCACACAAACCAGAGAAGTTCTGGTCTCTCCTACTTCCTCTGCAAAGTGAAGAGGATCTGAGGTGGCTGGAGATGGGGCAGTATCACCTTGTTCTCCCCTGAGCCCCTTCCCAGCCTGTTCCTTTTGCTGTCTCTGGTGCAGAGATGCCCGCAGCCATTGTGTGCCACAGGGCACTGGGGTGGAGGGCTGAGGGAGAGCCTGTCGTTGCACATGTCTGACGCCAGGATGAGGTGCATGAGGAATTTGGTGGCCTTGTGCCACTGTGGCAGTGTGCTAGTGCTTGAGATCTTTCTTAGAGCAGTCTTTTTGGGGACTTGCAGATTTACATAGCAGTTGTGCTTCCCTGCCAGAGCTGCTGTCTCTAAACTGAAGTTAATTCCCGACCGAGTGAGATAGAGGAAATCTTTTTCTGTACCACCATGCTTGTGAGCCTCAACATAGACCACAACTAGGGAAAGCAAAGCCCAGGCACTCCCTGGGGCATTGAGCCATGCTGGAAAACTTTTGTTTGCTGGGGTGTGTCTCCATCTGGGTCACCAGAGGGCTGGCAAAGACTCTCAGTGTGATAACACTGTGCTATGGTGGGTAGAGGGGCATCCCCTCCACAGGCCTCTACAACTCTGCTTCATCTCAGAGCACAAGATGGAGCAGGAGCAGGGTAGAAGGAGGTGGGCTAATGTTGCCTTGTTTCTAGCTTTGGTTATCTTCCCAGCCCTCTTCCCCACTCAGCTGTGGGAAGGTGTAGCTCCCGCTAAAATGATGTTGGCATTGTGAGAGAGTCTTTTTGCTGGTGCCAGAGTCCCCATCCAGTCCCTTGCCCGGGGCAGAATATGTGTGGGGGTGGGTGGTGGGATGGGAGAAGCTGCTGGAAGGCCAGTGGCCTCTTGCTCTTTGGAAAGGCATGTCTGGTGTCAGAAAAAACAGCGGAAAGAAAAAATGCCCAGGTTGTCGGGGAGGTGGCAGTGAGAAGGGATGCATTCCATCCCAGATCTTGATGGAAGAGGTGCTGCTCCACAGCCTCCCTCTCCCTGCCTGATCCCAGGAAGCCGGGAGCTGCCACGTTCATGCTGGAAACACTCCACTTACATTAACATATGTACTTTATATGCCTAGGGTAGCTAAAAGTGCTGCATTCAGATCCCCGAGGAGGCAACTGCTGTCTGGAGTCCAAGCGGATGGATTTATGGGGCTGTCCCCACGTGCTCTCTCCGTGTCTGGCGGGCACTGGGCCGCAGCCCTGTCATGTCGCCCAGGAGATCGCGGCGCTGTGCTCCTTTGCTTTCATCCTCAGGGCAGCGATGCTGGAGGTCTTGCGGTCCGGCTCGCTGTTCAGCTCGTAGCCATTGAGGCTGGGGCTCATCCCGGCTGTGCCGAAGAGGCCACCCATGTGAGTCTGTCCCACGTGGCTGCCGGGCCCGGAGACTCCGAGGAACTCGGAGACGCCGCCGGCCGCGTGGGGGTGAGCATGGGGGGACATGCAGGAGGGCACCGTCTCGCAGGGGACCACGCAGGCAGGCACAGGGGAGGCGGCTCCGTTGTTGCCGATCCAAGAGGGGTTCTGGATCTGGGGGAGGGAAAAGAAGCATCAGGGCTGCCCCATGCAGGATATTTTGGGCAGCTGGCCTGGGGGAGTGGAGTGTGCCCAGCCCTGGCCTGGCAGGGCAGCCTAGTGGAGGGGCAGCCAGTGAGATGGGTATGCAGTCCTGTCTGCTGGGCCCTGCCAGCTGCAGCACCCTCAGCCCTCCTGCAGGCAGCAAATCCGCTCCAAAACCCGTATGCCAGCCTGGACAGGGGCAGGGAGTGCAGCAGGATTACTCACAGGGAGCAGCACTGTGCTCCTTCTCTGCCACAGCATCTGTTTATTTCTTTCCCAGACACTCTTACTTTTTTTGTACCATGAGCACTTTTCTCAGCACAGGAAACTTTGTGTCATCCATGGTGTTTCTGTGGTCCTACTCATTATGCAGGAATCAGGCAGAAAGCAGTGATGGGAGGCTGCTCATCCACCATCCTTCTCCAGCTTGGGGCAGCTGCAATTGCCTAGACAAGAGCTATTTTGTGCACACAGACATGCCTGTCAGAGCTGAGCCCTCAGCACAGGCAGCTTCATTGCCCCTCTCCCCCAGCAGTGCCCATCCGGGCAGCATCACCCACCCTGCTGCAGAGCAGACCCCTGCAGGGCCACCTTGAGAGACCACCTGGGATCCTGCAGTGTCACTCATAAAGTGATATTGCAGAAAAGAGGAGGGCTCAGTATTTGGCAGTGGGAATAGGTGTGCTGCAGCAGGGGGCACGTGGACATGCAGAATGAAAGCAGAGAAGAGATGAGCAGTTGGCTGGAGCAAGAGAGCAAAGGGCCCTTCATCCCACTGCTTGCCCTTGGGCCTTCTCTGATCTCTTACCTTCTGCAAATTGCTTTTCAAATATTTGAATCTCTTGTGCTGGGAGAGGAGGGCAGTATGGAGGGAGAGAGCAGTGTAGGTTACAAAGGCAAGAGAAGGACATGCTAAAAAGGCTGCTGAGAGTGTTCTCTGCTTGAAAAGCTGCTTTGGCATCTCAGCTGTTTCAAAAGGGTTTCTTGTTCAGTTTATGGGAGACGCCAAGCGGGAGAGAGGTCAAACACTCCTGGCTTGGCTGAGGGGTAGCACTGGTACAGCACTGCCTGGGGAGGCAGCTGACAGACAGGGTGGCAGGGAGGGAGGGCTTCCAGCAGATCTGTGAGGACAGTCAGGTTCAGAGCATCATGCCTGCAGAATTGCGCCCTTGAGCAAATTCTGGGTGGTGGGAAGAGGAGTGGAGGAAGGCGGGAGTGCTTTCTGGGGCACAGCCTAGCCTTGGAGCTAGCAAACCCCAGTCTGCCTGGCATCATCTGAAGTGTTGTGAAACTGGGGCTGGCCCAATGTTTAGGAGGCTATTGTGCTGACAGGTTTTCCAAGACAGGAAGCTAAGAAGGGAAGGCAACCCTGTGACTTGCTCCCAGAGTCAGGGCAGGAACAGTTTCAATAGGACTCAGAAGCACCTCAGGTACCCCAACAAGACTGCTTCCTCCCTTCTTCCTTTGGAGCATAAATCTACAACTCCCTTGGGAAGCATCCCCAGATGTCACCAAGTGTGCTGTACGTACCACAGCCCATCACTGGGAGACTGCTGTGGGAATTTGCCAGGGGAAAAATGCTTTTATCCAACCACCATGTCCAAGGGGCATCGAAACCAGACATGGTAACAGGAAACCTCCCCGGGATCTGCTATTCTTTAGGCATGAATTAGCCTTTTGGATCTTTTCAAACCAGTGGAAAGTTAGTGGGCAGTAGCACATGTGATAGGTTGTGCTGAGCACTTGTGCCCAAGGGTGCTGCTCTATATCACACAGTGCTGTGCCTGGTACCTGCTTTAAAGATGGATGCTCTGGGTCAGGGCATGAGGGAGCCAAGCAAGACACCTGACTAAAAAACTGCCAGCCCTTTGCCTGGCAGTATAGTCCCGGTGTCCCTGCAGGCTTGCCTAAGGGCAGCTGGATGTGCCTGAGAAGTGAAGCATGGCTTGGGGAGGACTGGGACCAGAGGCAGCGTGTCCAGCAAGCACAGTGCCCAGGCAGGGGAATGCACTCACCTGGGCGTAGTTCTCAGCACGGGTGAGCAGAGGCAGCTCGTAGGCGGTGGAGAAGTGGGTCCGGACCTGCTGCATCTGTCCGAACCGCTCCCGCTTGCGCCATTTGGCTCGCCGGTTCTGGAACCACACCTGGGGAGAGGGGACAGCAGGGCTGTGAGCAAGGGGAGCCCGGCAGTGTCTGGTAGCCCGGCAGCCCTGAAGAGCCCACCAGAGGGCAGGGCCTCACCAGGCGGGTGGTTTGGTATGGCACAGAGAAGGGCATTGCTCCACACACATGCTCTGCAGGGGAGAGACGGTCCTTCCCTGCTTCTCTTGAGGGACTGGGAACAGCCTGCACTCCTAGAAAGGGAGCACTCCGTGCAGAAGGGGATGTCCATCTTCTAGTGCACAGCCTCTCTGGGGACATTCCCAGCTCTTGCCTCCCACAGCCTGATTTGCCTTGGCGTAGCCCATCTTCCTCTCACTCCTAAATCTGTGTTACCCAGGCTCTGCCTGCAGCTCTCCTGCCAGTCTCAGAGGAGAAGTGTGAATACATCTGTGTGTGCTGCTGCCAGGCTGAAAACAGCAGTGACGGGGCTTTCCCCAGGACTAATCCTGGCTATGATGATGTCATTGACTGCAGCTTGCATTTCTCACCAACTCCCTCATTTTTCTTAACCGCAACAAGAAATACAAAGCTGAACACCCCTTCCCTCCTTAGCTGCAGGAAAGGACAGGTGTCCTTCTATAGCATCCTTTGGTTTACACTGAGTTTTCTTTGCAGGGTTTGCTACTCTTTGCTTCACAGTGCTGCTCAGATCCCTTCAAGGCAAAGACCAAAACTCTGTTTCTGCTCTTATTTTTACTGGCTTGACATCAGTGTGGATTATTGCACTGTTGTCAGCACCATTGCTCCTGATTTGCATCAGCCTAAGAAAGATCAGAGCCTGGCCCAGTGTCTTCAAAGCCTCTTCAAGCTCGTGAGTCAGGGAAACACATCAATCAAGAGCTGCTTTGAAGGCACTGAGAGATGAGGGTGATCACCAGGGGCTGGGTTGTGCAGGTCACTCGAGTGCATGAAAGGAGCACTCCTAGAGCCTCTCAGCTCTGCTTCGAGTTTTACACGGTGACTCGCTGCAGGGGGCCAGAGAGGGTATTGCTGACAAGCAGCTTGGCCCTCCCCACGCCTGGCCGTGGGGCAGCTTTGCTGCTTGCCAGGCACCTGTGGAGAGCAGATGCCAGGTAGGAAGCTCATGTCTTCACAGGACAGCAGGACAAGCCAGGTTCTTGGCACAGGGTGGGATGGCAGGACAATTTTTGCAGGGGTAGAAATGCTGTGGCACCTGCAGCTTGAATCAGTGCAGCCAGAAGCTGCTACAGGGAGGGATAAGGGGTTTGGTCTTCTGTTCTGAGCTGACCTTCCTGCTTGTGCTGGAAGAGTTGTTTCAGGCTCTCCTGCTTCAGTTTCTGCCTTCCACCACACAGACAGCCTCGTGCTGGTCTCTCGCAGCCAGGCCTGTGGTATGAGTAGGCAGCTGAGGGTCTGGCTGTGCACTCTGCTCTGCTTTGGGCAGGGAGCAGATAATGCAGCTGCCAGGCACGTGCTCCTCATGTGGGCTGAGAATAGCACAGAGTTTAGTGCCCGGCCCCATGGCCATGGCAATGCCACTGGCGTGGGTCATCTACAAGCTGGCCAACCTCCTATGAACCCCCTACCCCAAATCAAAAACCCTGTGAGTGTTTTCAGTAGGTGCAAAAAGCATGGGGAGAAGCATCCTATCGTTATCCCAGCTGCGCACACGCTGCACATGCAGAGCGTCCTACTGGAGCAGGTTTGATGCCTCAGGCAGCTGTCTGTTTTTCTTCTACCTCTTCTTGGCACAGCCACTCCAGCCCAGCTGCAGGCCAGTCCCAGGGCTGGCCTGGATCACGCCGCTTTGATCTGCAGATTCAAAGTTAGCGGTGCTGACCTGGTTCCTCCTCAGGCAGAGGAGGCCCCGCTGTGCACAGAGGGGTGCAGAGCAGGTAGGGAGCAGAGTGCTGCCTGTGCATGAGGCCGGGATGAACATGTGCCAGGCATACGTGGCTGTTCCCCGTGGGGTGAAGGCACTGGCTGCCTTGCCCGCCTGAGCATCCCACCTGGGAGCAGGGCGGCCGAGCTCGGGCCCCCACGGCAGTGTGTGGCTCTGCAGTGTGACCTTCGAAGCCATCAGTCTGTGCCCTCTTCTTCCCAGGACAGCACAACAGCTGCCTTGACAGAGCAGAGTGAGGTCTCAGCCTCTGCTCTAACACATTTATGTATTGGATTGACCAGAGCAAACTGATTTAAACTGGCAGTTCCCAAATTGCCACGTGGCTGGTGGGCTGGGACGACGTGACAAGTCATCACATTAGGCTGAAGAAGAGTGTCTTCAGTCCAAGTGTTGGTGTCACAGGCACCAGAGACACTCTGACAGCTGACAGTGAGCTCTGAAGCACTTGTGGCAAGGTTTAGACCACTTTTTAAAGCTCTCCTTTCTCCTCTGGTCCAAATCCTTACAGGCTTCTTGGTGTCTTGCAGTTGGGTTTCTCCAGGCCTCCACAGTGCTCCGGGGAAAACAAGACAGGCATGGCAACGTATAATGTGAAAATGTCAGCAAAAAACCTCAACTAATCCTCAGTATTTCCACAGTCTTAGAAGACACCTGCTTTTAAAAAGCAAATCTAAACCCAAACAGAAGTTCATTTTCCTTTCATTGCCTGTCACTCCTTGTCAAGAGCGGCTGTCGTGGGATGGGAATGTGGCAGCGGAGGTTGCAGTGGCTAGTGCATGTCCTCTGGGGTCAGGATGGGCTGTGTCTGCTGTGCAGGGGCCACTGGATCTCTGTGTTAGCAATTACAGCAGGAGTGTATGGTAATGTCATGTATCTGACTCATGCAGACAATGCTTTGATAAGCCCTGATGTACCAAATCAGCCCTGTAAAAATCTACAGAACAGAGAATGTTTCGTGTGTCCATAAACATTCAGCTATATGTGGTACCTACATCCACATGCATAGACAGCTGATGTGCTGTTGGGGGTGGAGAGGCCAGAAGTGGCCTGAGACAAATCAAGGAGGCTCCTCCTCATTCTCTTGCTGCCTCTACCCTCGCACCCAGTGGGCACTGCCAGTCTGTCCCTGCCACCAATCCCTGTATGCCCTGCACAGGGCACAGATGGATGGGCTCAGCTGGGACTTAACCCAGGCCACTGACTATGTCTGGTTAGTTAGGGGCTGCATCACTGATTTTTCCTTCCTCCAAGTTAAAGAAAAAGTGTTTTCCCCTCTCTCCTATCCCCGCCATGGCAATGGTGGGTGAGGCTGACCTCTGCACATGTGGTGGTGAGCTGGTAGCAGCTGTGGGGTTGTGCTCATGCCCTGTCCCCAGCACCTCTCACTGCATCACTGCTCTGATGCAGGTAAGAACTAGCCCACCATGTTCAAGTCTCTTGTGCTTTTACTCTCTTCTGGCAGCCCTACAGCATCCATTCTCTCCATTCCTGTCCTCTCACCCTGCTACCCTCCTCTCTCTGCTCAGCCTCCATCAGGACCCAATCCCTCTGTGAAAGGCCAGGCTGTCTCCCCTCTCGCCAGAGATGGACACCAGTCCTTTGCTTTTCAGACTGCAAGAACAGAGCCAGAATTCATCCTTGAGTGCTGAAACTGGACACCATTTTATCAGTGGCCTGGCATGGGAAATTGGAGCCTGGGATGAGAGAATTGAATAACTCGAGCTTGTTTTCATTTCATGTTTAATTTCCTGCAGGCTTAGCTCAGTCTTTCCGCTCCTTCCACCAGCCTCCCAGGGTTTTATGGGGGAAAAGGGATCAAGATATATTACTTCTTGCTTTGCTTTGCTTTTTTTCTTTTCTTTTTTTCCAAGGCGGTGATTTTGCTACAGCGGAGTTTGACATTTCCCTCTCACTTTCAAGCCCCTGCCGCATCACAGGGTCACTGCCGAAAACATTTCATTAATGGTCCCAGCAATCATAAAGCTGGCTCTTAGGGGGGGCTGGCTGAGGGGTTATATTCCCTGGCTGTGAAGCCTCCTTCCAGTCCCATCCCTTTCTCCTCTCCCAGAGAGCAGTCCAGGAGGCAGATACTGATAACCCAAGAGAGATAAGCAGCCAGGGCCAGGCTAGCATGGACTTGGGATGTGCCTGTGTGTGTTTCTGTGCAAAGGGAAGGAATAATGTGTGAATACATGTGTCTACCTTGTTTTTCTAGTGCCACTGCCTCAGACATCTGCTGCAGACCTGGATGAGCTGAAAGAGCCTAAAGCAGTTGCTGGTACCAAGCAGAAGCTCTTTCTGGGCCTCTGCAGCCCCAGACATGGAAGAGGAGAAGAAAGGAATGGGATATATAGGACCTACCTGAACCCAGCACTCCCTGTGCACCCTTGCAGGTTTGTGGCTGAGCCATAGCAACCTCTTCCTGGCTGTGCCTCTGCACAGAGCTTATGCATGGCTCCCACTTTGGAAAACAGGGATGTGCAGTACCTTAATATTACATGGAAACAAGGGGCAAGGCTGTGAGGAGTAGACAGGAAAATGTTGCACTGCATCACAGGGGGAATTAGCTTTGGTATTGTCAGACACCAGTACAGATGGCTGGAAACTGAGGCAGGCAAGGAAATGGAGCAGGAGAGGGGCCAGGCCACGGAATGCCATTGATTCACAGACAGTATGGTCCACCTCATATATGCTGCTGGCATGGGCTCTTCTCCAGACACCAAAATCTCCGGCAGCTACTTCACTAATGAAGCATGAGCCTGTCTGGGCCCTGCATCTGCTCCTGCCTGCTGTGCAGCTGGTTATGCTCCCCAGGAAGCCAAGCCTGGCCAGAGGGGTTGACCTCCAGCCAAAAGCTGTGGGAGGGAGCATCACACCTTAAACCTGTGCCTCGCCTTTCTGCCATCTTGCTTTGCTTAGTTCAGCTTTGCAGGCAGCTGAAGCTGACCTCCAGAAAATCATTCCAGGGCAGGATTATCCCTTAGAAGACCATATCTTCTCTGGGAGATGGACTACTGTGCTTCCCTCAAGGCTCATGGGACTGCAGCAGGTGTGTGCCCAAACACCCCACTGCAGCCAGAGCCTTTCCCAGTGCAATGGAGGGTGTCTGAGTACCTAGTAGCTCTTTAGCTTGCAGGGGAAAAGTAGCGAGTGGCTCGTGTCTAATTTGTGATTTCCACCCTCTAGCCCTTGGTTCTTGGTCCTTGCAGTAGGCATTTGCTTCACCATCAGCCTCCTGAGCTGCAGTCCCATGCCCGTACCCACTCTTGGGCTGGGAGCTAATGGCCCTTGGTGCCAAACTGCTGGTGTTGGACGAGCAGAACTGCCCAGGGGGTGGGAGACCAAAAACAAGGCTAAACAAGCTCTAGCACAACCCAGATGTGGAGACAGGAACTAGGCTGATTCACTAAAAAAAGGCTTTGTCTCATGTGAAGAGCAGCCCTGTGACACCAGCAGAAGAGCCCTGTGCCACCTCAGACTGCACCTCCATGCCTCCCAGGGGCTGCCACTGCCGTGCCAAGGCCAAGCAGCTCCCTAACCAACAGCCTCATCCCCCTGGGAACACATCGGAGATACCAGCACCTGCTGCTCTGGCACAAGCCTGCGGGTCCTTGCTCTCCAGTGGCAGGAGTGCACTCTGCTGCTGACAGCATGGCAGTCCTGCATCACGAGGTGGTGGCCTGGTGCCAGCCCACAGCCCAGGTCAGTGGGTCCTTCCCGGCAGAGCCAGGGAATGACTGAAATGCAAGTGCTTACCCCTTTCACCACGGGGTAAGTGCACGAGCAGCCAGGCCACTCAGACAAGCCCTTCAGCAGCTCTGTCACACGAGCCCTGTCATCGCCCTCCCAAGTGAGAGGTGGCACTGGCAGGGAGGCTGTTCTTGCTGCCTATGGCAGCAGGCTACTGGCACGTTTATCTCAGAGCAAACCAAACCCCTCTTTGCCAAATATACTCCAGGCTACCTAGGAAGTTCTTCTGACCTCAGATGAAGTGTGATCCAGTAGTGAAGTGGGGAAAAACCCGAAAATGGGTCATATGTAAGGAATGTGTAGATTGCATCTGCCTCACCTGCCTTGGCTCTGATGGACAGCCCTTCACGCTGCCTGGGACGACACAGTAGCTGCAAACCCTGGCTCGGAAGCGAGCAGGAGGAGCTCGCCACCCTCCAGCACCTCATTCTCATTCCTGAGCTGAAGGAATGTCATGCACTGTGCAGCCAGTAACCCGATGCTATGCCAGGCCTCCCAGGAGACCCCATTAGCACTTGTGGTGTGTTCTTGGGAAATCAAGAGCTGCATGCAGTGGCACAAGTAAAGAGCTGATGTTTGCAGCACTGCCCTGCTCTGCCCATCCTGCAGTGCTCAGCATGCTGCACTCAGGACCAGTGGGAATCTCCCTGCTGCCTACTGAAACACAGCCATGTCCAGCCTGAAGAGAAACAGCTGTGGAGAGGAAGAGCACACCAGCCCTGCAGGCCAGTTTAGGCAAGCATACAAGAAAAGTTCTGCTTCTGGTTGAATTCAGAAGTGAATGTACAAACTAAAATGGACCTGAGCATGGATGTGGGCCTTATTTGCAACAACTACTTGTAAAGATTAAAGTAGAGGCTGCCTGGGAGCTGGGACTATTCCTGGTATAAAAGATAGAATCAGGCATCTCCATGGGCCAATTATTCTTGATGCTAGTGCAGGTTCTGGGGGTGGTGAGCTGACAAATGCCTGCAGATGGAAGTGAGAGGATTAGCTGTGCTGGAGAAGGAGCTGGCCACCAAGGTGTGAGCTGTGGATGTCCACTCCGTGCAGTGATGCTCCTTTTTCACATGTTTCTGAGCCCTGACATGCCTTCTGTTTAACCTTGACTCACAGGAAAGAGCAGTAGTCAGAGAATCATTCCCTCCTGTGATGTGCATTTCGGGTCTACTGGCCCCCCAGGTTAGTTCAAGGGAGTTAATTCATGAGAGATGGTGCCTGTGTGGGTGGGGGTGATTGAGACTGTCAACAGAGTGTGGCTGTTTGACTCTCCTGCTTCTCCTAAGGTGGTGGGTGCACCTTTTGCCTACAGATCTCCAGCTTTCATGCAGTCTCAGCACCTGCCAAGCAGCAGTAAGAGCTGCCTCTCTTGCATCACCACGTTCTTGGCACTGAACTCCCAGTCACCTTGCAGCCCCATCTGCCAGAAGGAGCCGATGGTGTGGAAAAGCTTGCTCCCACTCAGACTAATGAACCTGTTCCCCTGCAAGCCTCCTGAAGAGAGCAGGTTTTGTCCAAGTTTTGTTCAGGGTGGTGGTGAGGCTTACCCACCTGCTGTCCCATTAGCTCAAGGGCAAGAGTGTTTCTGAGTGTTTCTGTGAGCACTGGATTGCAGGACACCAGACCAAATAAAGCAGGTGACACCAGTGTAACATGTGGATGTACCTCATGCTCCCCCAGTGCCACAGGTTCTGATTAGGGTTCAGCTGCCTGCAGCTTATGGCGGGGCTGCAAGGGAACTTCAGAGGTTTTTTGCAGCTCATCCATCCCTTAGCCAGCCCCAGGATTTCCCCCCATACCTGTACACGAGCCTCGGTGAGGTCTGTCCTCATGGCTAGCTGCTCCCTGGCATAGACATCGGGATAGTGGGTCTTCTGGAAGACCTTCTCCAGCTCCTCCAGCTGGTAGCTTGTGAAGGTGGTGCGGTTCCTCCGCTTTTTGCCCTTGTTGCTCTCCGAGTCAGCCTTGTCCATGGGGCTGGGGAGGTCTGTGCTGGCCCTGTCCTGGGGCACCTTCACCCCGGCCTCCTTCACGCTGAGGTAGCTGCTGTCCATTGCTGAAGGGTCGGAGCTTGGCTGCAAGTCAGGCTCTCCCAATCCACTTTCCTTACCTGTTTCAGTGGGAGGTAGGGGAGGGAAGAGGAGGGCAGGTTTGACCAGGGGTAGGGGGAAGGGAGAGAGAGAAAAAGAAACACATGTGAATATTTTGACCTATTTTGCCCAGCACAGGTGGGCAAGAGGAGGCTGGGGCAAGGTCTCTCAGTTCCTGCTCCCTCTCAGAGACCCAGGTGGGAGGATGAGCCCTGTGCACTCAGGTACACACACCTGAGCAAGGCTCTCCTTCAGCCACACCTGCAGAAACAGCACCCCCTGTGTGCAGGGCAGAGGGAAATGAGAGGAGTGTGACAGCAGTCTGGGGGCTGTTCCCACCTGGTTGCCCTCAACAATTAATAATTAATGAGACATAACATGTGAGAGCAGTATGGCAGGCAGGAGGAAGAGGTTTCAACCACTGAACCAGTGAACTGTTTCCTTTCTAAGGCTTAGCAGCTGCAGTAAAACCACCATGTGGCTTTGTAACAGGGTATATGCATCCTCAGGCACAGGCACTGTCTGTGTCCTCTCCTGCACACCTCCTGCCTCCAGTGACAGTGGTGTCCCCTTCATGAGCAAGAGTGATGCTATGCCTGCAGGACCCTGGTGGGGATCCATGGCTCTCCTTTATCTGATGCCACTGCTCTGCATGGTGGGCTGAACCCAGGACAGAAAAAGAGGGATCTGTGTGAGCAACTGGCCACCTGCCATATCATGCACAGCCAAGTGTGGCGCCTGGCCACGTTTCTGCCTGGGATCTGGGGGCAAAAAACATGGTAGCCCTACTGAAGGCTTTAACCTTGAGCCACTATGCTCAGTTCCTAAATGTGTGGGAAGTGATACTGTGGTATTTTCTATCCATGCTCTTCTTACCAAGCCAAGAGCACATCAAGTGTCTCATATTTTTTTGAAATTTCCCTTTAGTCTATTTTTAGAACTTACCAGGACAGGATCAGTCTTTCTGGGAAACAGTTCCACTATTTAGTGATGTTTCCACTGGGAGCTTTTCCCAGGCAATGTGATAGGGTCACTAATGTCAGCTTAGGCATCTTAGCCTGTGTCTTTGGCAATACTCATCTCTTGTTACAAAATCCTTTTACTAATTCACTGTGTATTTACAGTTTAGCCCTTCTGTGAACAGACCTGTCACATCTTCACAGCCAAAAGCCCATGAAAATTGTTATGAAAAGGTGCACAGTGTACAAGTCCTTGCCCATCTCTCACTCTCACAACTGAAAGGCTGAGATGATTGGGATGAAACCAGGAGGGTGAAATGTAGCTCACATGTAGCTCACCCTCAGGCATAAGAGTGAGGGTGGCCCAGGTTTAAGCCTGGAAGGATGAGCTGTGAAAGGGATTTGGGAAGAAAATTGCCCAGGTGGTACAGAGGGCTTGTAGGCAGACCTTGGATGAAGGCAATACAATCACCTGCCACTTTCACCCTACTGTGATTTCAGATTTATTGCTTTCTCTAATATTGTTCCTTCAGACTTTTGAGGAGCTCCCTATAAAGCTTACCAAAACTTGATGTCTATCTCAGCTCTCTTTCTTTGATCCTTGGGAACATTTTGCAAAGATTTATGCTCCCTGGGTTCCAGAACCAGTGTCTAGGCCAGTGACTGACACTCTGCCTCCTCTTTGAACCTGCCTTCTCCAACTGGCTGACCTCTCCCATTGCTCCTGGGGGATGCAGGTGGACAGACCTGTCTAAAATGGGCTGGGACAGTGCCCTGCCCCACAGCCTTGGTAAATCATAAGTTACGGACATGATATTTATAATTTTTACAACTGAAAATAAAACAGTTCCAGAAAGTCTGCAGCAATGGACTACCACCTATGAGACTCAGTAGAGACAGAGTAATAAATAAAGTATTCCAAGAGGTTGTGAGTTTTTCTGGGTTTGGTTTGTTTTTTTTTCTTTTTTCTTTTTTTTTTTTTCTTTCTCTCTTTCGAGGATTATTTATGATGTCAGGAAGCTCAGTACATTTTCCCCTACAGCTCTGCTCTGGCTGCCTCCCTAACTCCTAAGCCCCCTGCATCTCCAGCAGCAGCAAACACAAGACCTGAAGCCTTTCCTTGGGAAATCCTCTGCTGGTTTTTATCTGCTTCAGGAGCTCAGTTAGCTGGGGATAGGTCTGCACAAACATGCACAAACACAAACACACACAGAGGAAGAGAGAAAAGCTCTGTGTCTGTTCTAATTTCGTTGACAGCATAGCTCAAACTGCAGCTGAGAGCTGGGCCCAGGATTTTCAGCACTGATAAGTTATCTCCATCACAAACTATCAGCCCCAAGGAGCAAGGACTGTCCCTGCTGCACACACAGTGGGTGTTCCCATGCCTGCTCTGCCAGTCCTGAGCCCCCTCCTTGAAGCTCAGCCATGCTGCTCCAGTGCTCCTGCACTGCAGCCGGTGTGGGCTTCTTCACCTCCAGCCCCTGAGAGCCCTGGTAGGGATGAACTGTTTATATGGGGCGGAAACTCTGGGATGGAGGTCCTGATGGCAGTGCTGGGAGGGCATGGTGTGCATCCACTCTCAGCTGAACATCCCAAGAAACAACTCTCATTCCCTAGAAACAGGCTCCCTGACCTCAAAACAGTCACGCTAACTGCTGAAGTGAAACAAATTGCATACATCTGCATATGGATATGCCCAGACTTCCTGTAACTGGAGATGGCCTCAAAGTTTCAGTGCAAAGTTTGGGGTGTCTGTTTCTAATCAAACCTAGAGAGACCTTGAGTTACATATTGTGAAGATCTCTGTGACAAGGAGTTGATGTGAGCACCACTGCACCCTTGCAAGCCCGACAGCAGAGTTGGTGCCTCCTGCACTGCTTGCCAATCCATCCTTGCCCTCGTAGCAGTAGAAGGAGGATATTTTCTGACTTCCCACAATTATACCCTGCTCTTCCAGTGCCTTGGCTGCTGGCTAGACCATCAGCACTCCCAAGACCTTCCCTGAGTCACCCTGTGTCAGCTGACAAGGGACAGTCCAGGATAACTGGGCATGTGGGCCCCAAGCATCTTGTAGCTCCTTTTGGGCAGGAGGGATGCCTGCATTCCCACTTCTGCAGGGGATATGCAGAATAATGCCTTTCAAATCTCACCACATCTGTCCTGGGAACCCTACAGGAGAAAGGGGGTGCAGGAGACACAAGACCATGTTCACCTGTGGCCATGAGGTAAGGCCCTGAGACAGCAAGGCATTGCTCTGCTCTGCTGACATGCTCCTGAAGGGAACAGCCATCTTTATCATGCTGTCAGAATGTTTGGATTCACAGCTTGTATCTGTTTTGTTCCTCAGGTGTGCTGTTTTAAGAAGGTGCTGAAGTAAAATCTTGGCTATGTACAATCTTATCCATGGAATTTAATTTAGAGCAAAGTCAGTTTTGGTGCATCTACAGGGATGGAGACTGGGACATTTCCAACACACAGCTTTGGGTAGGTCTGCTTTGCACAGCACGTGTGTGACAAGCCACAGCTCCTGCCTGATAGGTTCCTTCACACAGATCCTGGGATGGCAGCCCCACAGCCCATAAGGCTGCAGGAGAGCTACATGGGCAGCACAGCCTGGGGACACAGCCAGCACAGCCTGGGGACACAGCCAGCACAGGGCAGTTTCCCCTGGGCTCCAGGTAAAAATCCCTGCTGGGTCTTGGCACTGCTAATATACTGCTCTGGCAACACCTTGTCCAAGCTATTACAGTCTCAGCAAAGAGCTAATGCTATCCCAGTCTTGGGAGGCTTCAAGAATAGCCTTGAACTTCTGCTGGCATGTGGCAGCTCACAGACATTGTCTGCCTGTGGACAGCCCATGTCCAAAGAGCACGGCACAGGTGGCATGGGGCAGCACCAGGCTGCCCCTCTGCTCCCACACTAAATGGCACTGGGGCCTTCTGCCTTCCTGTCCAAGTGTGGGCACAGGGCTGTTCTCCCCTGCCCACCCCCAGATTCCACAGTCTCCAGGGCTGGCCACTTCAGGGTGCCTCTCCTTGCCTGCACAAGCATGGTCTGACTCTTCATAGCAATGGCCCTTTAAAATAAAAAAAAGCTCTTAATGTCATTCTCTCAACTCTTGCTTAAATACCAGTGCTAAAAGGGTTCAGGCAGTGCATTTTACACTTCTTACCAAGGCAGATTTGCACCACAGCCCAGCCAGCACACCTCAAGGACTTGGACGGCTATAGGAACCTTATCCAGCTCCTATGATCCTGCCTCAACATATGCTGAAATGATCACACTTGTTTCTAAGCTGTCTGTTGCAGTCTTCTGCCTCCTATCTGTCATTAAAATCTAGAAGTCAACACACGACTATTCTTTTTAAAACATTCACATTTTGGGTTATATAGGAAAAAACAAAGTGACTGAATTTTAGACATATAAAGACCCAAATATTCAGGTTTATTTCTGTTCAGGGTGTCAATGCTCTTGCAGTCTACACATGTAGAAAATATTTTAACACTTTTGTAGTTGTATGTGGCATCATTGATTTTATTTGCAATGATCAGATGCTTAATCATACTTTCACTCTTGTGCCCAACTGAAGTGTAAAACTGGGCAGCATTTGTCTCTTAAATGCAGATGGTATAATTCTAGATAGGACACAAACCATTGGCTTCATTCTGGAAGCTGCAGTTACCACCTGCTGCTAAGCAGAAGCTGGTTGGAGCATCTCCATTTCACCTCTGGATAAGGATGAATATACAGCCTGTCCATCCCTCCCAGACCAGGCCTCCTTTGGTTGATTCTGCAGAACCTGAAGGAAGGCTGAATAAGGTCTATGCTGTTCCTCTGCGCACGGTACAGCATTCACTGACTTCCCACTGTGCTCAAGAGACCCGTGCATGAATGTTCTCATCTGCATGGATGCTCTGTCCCTCTCTGCTGAGCTTGTCAAAGCTGCTGGCACTGCTGCTTTGCTGCCTGCAGCCTCCTGAGGCTCTACAGCAAAGGGGGGACACACTCTGTGGTTACTCATGGTGGAACTCACAGACTAAAAATAGCTGTGAAATACCTGA